GGCGTCTCTCACAGGCAAACCCAGACGCCATCAACCCGCCGGGCCCCTCCGTAGGCGGCGGCCCCGGTGACTCCGGGGCTCGACTGCGCCGTCGGGCCGCCGCGATGCTCGCGTTGTCGGACCGAGGGCCTTTGCTCCGCCGGAAACCCACGGCGCCGTCCCCTCAGCCTCCTCGCTGTAATCTGCCGGTACACCCGAGGCAGTCCTTCATCCTCAGACGCCGGGCAGGGCCCCTCGCGCCTCCTTCGCCGGTGCTGGGTCACTGCCACATGACGGCGATGCTGCTGCTCCCCTTTCGGTCCATCTGCCTAGCAGTGTCAAGGGGCCCTTAACAAACAATGCTCTTCAGAAAAACCTCCAGGCGCTACTTTGTTAAGTCGGGGAATTCACTCAGCCAGATGGAAGCCACATTTTGAGAGGCGGAATCAGCTGTCTGCTAGCGGACTCGAGTCCCAGAGAACCTGCAGCCCCGAAAGCAAATAAGGCAAAAATCACATGATTGGAGTGGAGAGCGAAACCTAATAAAGTGTTATACTTGAGCAAAGCAAACCAGAGCACCTGCAGGGCCAGTCAAGGGTTATCTGGGGCAAAACTTTAATGGATCTGCAATGTAGAGAATGGCCTTTTTCACCTCTAGGGTTTGGGGAACCGGGTGTAAAGCCCTCATCATCTGTGAAGATGCCAGGAGCGTGAGGACCAAATGGTACTACTTAGGCCCACTATATCCATATTTCAATTTCACTGGATAAAAGTTAAATCTTTAGGGCACTGGTAGCTAACGTCTGAAACCCTAGCTACTCACAAAGCTGAGATCTGAGAATCATGGTTCAAAGCCAGTCCAGGCAGAAAAGTTTGAGAGACTTTTACTTCCAGTTAGCAAAATGCCTGAACTGGCTCAAAGGATTCTTCACGTCCATCCCAGGGGACCACCGGAGGCAGGCAGACACAGGAGAAAGATTATGACAAAGTTTATTAGAGGGGCCATATTTCCCATTTGGCACCTGTCTCTATGCAGGTAGCAGGAGGGTCTGGGGCAGGAAGTGAGGTAGGTGGGTGCCCAGGTGGGTCTGGGTAGAGAGAGGGAGTGGCCAGCTGCAGGGCAGGAACTCCAGAGATGGGAGGAGCTCAGGTGGCCCTGAGGACCAAAGGTGGGCATTACGCTAACACTGGCAGCATAGCTCAAGTAGCAGTGCCCGGTCCTGAAAATAGTAAGAGAGGCTGAGTTCAGTCAAGCTCTAATATAGACACACATACTTTGACTCTCGATCAGAAATTTATTTATTTTTTGTGTCAGTTGTGGGCCTTGAACTCTGGGCCTGAGCGCTGTCCCTCAGCTCTTCAGCTCAAGGCTAGCACTCTACCACTTAGCTACAGTGACACTTTCAGTTTTCTGGTAGTTTATTGGAGATAAGAGTCTTATGGACTTTTCCTGCCCAGGCTGGCTTTGAACCTCAATCCTCAGATCTCAGCTTCCTGAGTAGCTAGGATTACAGGCGTGAGCCACCAGCGCCCGGCTAAATCAGAATTTTTACCCTGCAGAGTTAGATTATTTACTCTTAAATTGATGTCTGTAAGCGAACATCCTGTATCATGTCAGAGTTCACATATTTTTGTAATATATGAACATTGACTAGTAAAACTAGTAATAGTTACTATATTTTGGTGAGGTTTTCCCCATTTGGTTTAAGTCAGTTTACCTTTTAATAAGGTATTTAGGGGGAGTGTGTAAAAAATTAGTTTAGCACTTCAAAGTTTATAAAAGAAGTATATGCATTTGCTGGGAATATAAGTAGGAAGGATAATTAGAAATACCTGTAGTAGGTTAAATGTGCAATGACAGTTTTTCCAAAAGTAAATATGGACAACCAGAAAACCAAAATGTGACAGTTTAACATTCACTGGGAATACTTTAGATGGATTGTGGAACAGTGGTTTTGGAAAGTTTGGTGGCAGCTGTTCAGAAAAGTCACAAATACACTTCAAATATGCTCCATATGTTTTGTTTGTTTATGATGGCTTAGGGATTGAACTCAGGACCTTGTGCTCTACCACTTCAGTTACACACCTTAGTCTTCCTTTTTTTCTTTCTTTCTTTTTTTTTGTTCTGGGGCTTGAACTCAGGGCCTGGGCACTGTCTCTGACCTTTTTTTGCTCATCACTCGAGCCACACCGCCACTTCAGGCTTTTTCTATTTATGTGGTACTAAGGAATTGAACCCAGGGCTTCATGCATGCTAGGCAAGCACTATACCACTAAGTCACATTCCTAGCCTATTTGTTTTTTCTTTGTGCCAGTCCTGGGACTTGCGCTCAGGTCCTGGACACTGTCTCTGCTTTGTTCTTTTTTTGTTGGTTGTGAGGCTTGAACTCAGGGCCTGGGCGCTGTCCCCAAGCCTCTCTGCTCAAAGCTAGCACTCTACCACTTGAGCTACAGGGACTTCTGCTTACCTCCCAAAATGTGGCTTCTCTATCTCACAATTGAATCCCCATATAACACTACCTCTTGAGCCACAGTCCCACTTCCTTATTTTTGCTGGTTAATTTTTGACAAGTCTCATGATGTCTCACAAGTCTGGGCTGACTTCAAACCATGATCCTCAGATCTTGTCTTCCTAAGGAGCTAGGCTTACATGTGTGAGCTACCAGCACCTGGCTTTCAGTCATTTTTTTTTTTTGCTTTCAGGTCTTACACTTTTTCCCCAATGCAAACCTGAACTTCACTTCTCCGATTTATACCTCCCAAGAAGCTGGAAGTCTTCACAATTGACCTTCATTATTTACTTTTTTTGACCACCACAATTGACCTTCATTATTTACTTTTTTTTTTTTGTCAGTCATGGGGCTTGAACTCTGGGCTTGGGCACTATCCCTGTGCTTTTCATCTCAAGGCAGGGATGCCAGGCTTTTCTCTAAGCTTTTAGTTAATTCACGGGCCTGTTACAAAAACACTGAAAATAGACTGGAAGCAAGTTGTCTTTGTAGTGAGAATGACAGTGTTAGCCTTTGGGGTTTGAGTACTTACTAAGATCGACTGTAAGAATTCTGTCTACAAGCTGGGCGCCGGTGGCTCACACCTGTAATCCTAGCTACTCAGGAGGCTGAGATCTGAGGATCGAAGTTCAAAGCCAGCCCGGGCAGGAAAGTCCAGGAAACTTAACTCCAGTAAGCCACTAGAAAACCAGAAGTGGTGTTGTGGCTCAAGCGGTAGAGCGCTGGCCTTGAGATGAAGAGCACAGGGACAGCGCCCAAGCCCAGAGTTCAAGCTCCACGACTGACCAAAAAAATAAAAATAAAAAATTCTATCTACATCCAGTCCATAGGGTTGAAGTTAATATGAGTTGGGAATTACAGTATTTTCTCCGAGACCTTGAGATCTCCTCTTCTATTTCAGATTCCTTTTGTCTTTGCGCATCGCTCATGGCCAGCTACTATATATTATTTTAATCAAGCTGAGCATTGTGACCCATGTCTGCACTCAGGAAGCTAGGGAAAGAATCAAGATTTCACAGTCAAAGCCGGGCGCTGGTGCCTCACGCCTGTAATCCTAGCTACTCAGGAGGCTGAGATCTAAGGATCATGGTTCAAAGCCATCCCGGGCAGGAAAGTCCGTGAGACTCTTATCTCCACTAGAAAAAGCCACTAGAAAAACCGGAAGTGGCACTATGGCTCAAGCGGTAGAGCACTTGCCTTGAGCTAAAGAGCGCAAGGACAGCGCCCAAGCCCAGAGTTCAAGCCCCACGACCGACCAAAAAAAAAAAATTTCACAGTCAGTTTGGGATACACAGCCACTTTCTCAGAAAAGAACTAAATCATTACCATAGTATCATAATTCAGCTAAAATTATTTTTAATTGTAAAAATTCTTTAATATCACCAACTAGCCAATGTTGAATTTTTTATTTTCATGCTTTTTTTTTTTTTTTTTTGCCTGTCTTTGGGCTTGAACTCAGGGTCTAGTCAGCAAAATCTGTGAGACTCATCACCAATTAACCACCAAAAGATGGAGACAGAGATAGAGCTCAAGTGGTAGTATGCTAGCCTTAAATGGGAAAACATGAGCCAAGAACTCTAGGATGTGTTCAAACCCCAGTACTGGTGAACACACACACTGTTATGCCAAGGTCGCAGGACCCCCACCAAGAAGACCACCGAGAGTCAGACTCTACAGCTGTTTTATTTAAACGGGCTGCAGCTCGGGGCTCAGTCCTACACTCCGACACAGCGGAGCCCAGGAGGAGGGCCCTGAGCTAAGGATTTGCAGGGTTATAAAGGCACACAATCAACCAGGTGTTTGGATTACCACCATGTGTTGCTCTGCTAGACAGAAACAAGCAACAAGTGGTCACTGCCTCAAAACTTGAACCCTTCAACACAAACATTTATACAATTGGTTGAAATTACTCTTAATTTTTAATGTATTTGTTTTGTTTTTTTTTTTTGGTCAGTTGTGGGGCTTGAACTCTGGGCCTAAGCACTGTCCCCAAACTTTTCTGCTTAAGGCTAGCATAGTGCTCTACCACTTAAGCCACAGCTCCATTTCCCACTTTTTTTGTTTGTTGTTGTTGTTGTAATTGGAGATAAGATCTTCATGGACTTTCCTGTCCCAGGCTGGCTTTGAACTATGGTCCTTAGATGTCAATCTCCTGAATTACTAGGAGTTTTGCTAACTTCTGGTCTCAGCCACTGATTACCCTACTCGATGTCCCTGGGAGCTGGTGTTAACATATGTATACCATCATGCTCAGCTTCCTCCCTCTTTGTTTTTCTGTTAGATTTGCTTGCTGAAGAAGCACACTTGTTTGCCTTGTGTCATGCATTGCTCAGTTTTCTGCTTTCCTGTAAAGCTGGAGGGGTCTAGTTGCCTTTCTTGTACAGAAGATAATTTTCTCTCAGCAGCTGAGACACTGGCCCTCCACTCTTTTCACTCAAGGCTGGTGTTCTATTACTTGAGCTACAGCTCTACTTTTTAGCTTTTTGGTAGTTAATTGGAGGTAAGAGTCTCATAGACTTGGGCTGGGAAGGTGGCTCAGTGGTAGAGCGCTTGCCTTGCATGCATGAGGCCCTGGGTTTGATTCCTCAGCACCACTTAAGCAAAAAAAAAAAAAAGCCGGAAGTGGCGCTGTGGCTCAAGTGGTAGAGTGCTAGCCTTGAGCTGAAGAGCTGAGGGACATCGCCCAGGCCCAGAGTTCAGGCCCCACAAGTCTCATAGACTTTCTTAGCCTCCCAGAAGCCATCAGGATAGACATGAGCCACCAGTGCCAAAGCCTACAAGTACCTTTTCGGTGTTGGGGGTTTGGTTTGGTGCTTTTTGTTTTTTTTCCCCCCCTCAAGAGTTTACTTAGTAAAGAAAGTAAAGACCACTCAGGAGAGTGAGCATTGGGATTGGGAAACTGGTTGTCCCTCAGGTACCTTTTGTTTTGTTTTTTGTTTTTATGGTCTGTTGTGGAGCCTGAACTCTGGGCCTGAGCACGGTCACTCAAAGCTAGTGCTCTACCACTTGAGCCACAGCACCACTTCCAACTTTTTCTGTTTATGTGGTGTTGAGGAATCGAACCCAGGGCCTCATTATGCCAGGACAAGCACTCTACCACTGAGCTACCTTCCCAGCCCCCCTCAGGTACCTTTTAAGACCTCTTTATTTTTAGGGTTCTGATTTTCTGTGTGTTTACTACTTGAATTGTTATGTGTTACCTGTGTTGTTTTCTGTGTCTGAGCAGAGGAAAGTGTTCCATTTGCCTGACTTTTTACCTTTTTCTCCATACTCTAGTCCTCCCTTCTGTTCCCCTTTCAGTAAATGATGGAATAAACCAGTGTGAACTAGTGAAAGTTAAACAACATTTAGTAAATACGTAAATATCAGTGTGTAGCTAGGAAGGTAAAATGAAAATAAAAATATGTGACATAAGATTACTGGGTTCTTCATCGAAACGTAAAGAGTAAATTGGTCAGAATCACTGACCTGGAGAATGCTATCTGAAGGTTAAAAAAAACCAGTCTTTTGAGTGTGGTGGTACCCACCTATGGTCCCAGCTACTACACAGGCTAAGAACAAAGGATCATTAAGCCCAACTTCAAGACTAACTTGTACAAAATAGTCATGAAAGATCTTGCCTGAAATAAATAAAACAGATATTTTCAAATCTAAATTCTCATCAGTGTGGTTTTCCCACCCTTAGATTTCATATTTTGGATCTGGCTGTCTTATAATGAGTGACACTTTGGTGTCAGGTGTCATTGGCCGAAGAGTTGAAGTCAATGGAGAACGAGCAACTGTGCGTTTTTCTGGTGTTGTTCCACCTGTGGCAGGTGAGTTAAGGTATTCGTGTGTGTATATGTGTTTTATGTTCACAGATTATAAGGAAATTGACAATCGTCTTATACTTCCTGTATGCAATAGTTTTAGAATAATGGCATCATTTCTATGGTTTTAATTATATGTTACGTAAGTACTTAGTGTTTCTATTTTATCTTGTCAACCTTAATTTTATTTATGTATTTATTTATTTTTGGTGCTGGTCCTGCGGATTTAACTCAGGCCTGAGTTTAGTCTCTAAGCCATTTTGCTCAGGCTAGTGCTCTACTACTTGAGTCACAGCTCCACTTTCAGGTTTCTAGTGGTCAATTGAAGATAAGAGTCTTACTAGCTTTCCTGCTTCAGCTGTCTTTAAGTGGTAATTATTTGATCTTAGACTTATAAGTGAGCCACTGGCGCTCAGCTTAAAATTCTATTCTAGAGCTAGGCACCAGTGGCTCAGGCCTGTAATCCTAGCTACTCCTGAGCTCTGAGGATCACAGTTGGAAGCCAGCCTGGGCAGGAACATCTGTAAGACTCATCTCTAGTTGCATAACTCAGAGAAGCCCAAAGTGGCCCTGTGGCTTAAGTGGCAGAACACTAGCCTCCAGCAAATGAAGCTCAAGACAGGCCATAGGCCCAGAGTTCAAGCCCTAAAACTGCCCCCCCAAAATCTATTCTAAGCAAACTTTAACACTTGTCTTTTGGGGAACTCTACCTACCTATGACCTCCCTCTCTCCTCCTGTTCCTCCCTCTCCATCTCTTCTTCCTCCGCCCCTCCTTCCCCCCTTTTTCTTTTGATGCTGGTCCTTGGGCATGAACTTGAGGCCTTGTGTTTTTGCTTAGCTTTGTTTCCTTAAGGCTGGTGCTCTACAACTTGGGCCACACTTCTATTAATTGATGATAACAGTCTCTTTAGATTTGTCTTACTGCCCCTCCTGGCTTCAAATCTTGATCCTCCTCTTCTGAGTACCTAGTACAGATGTGAACTACTGTGCTTGGCAGGATCTTTCTACAAGATGAAAGCAGAGAGTAGACTATAACATCTATGCATAAGTCTGCGTCATAAGTGCTACAAAGGTGTTGCACAGTGCGAAGATGGCTCTCACACTGCATACAAATTATGTGAACTGTGTTGTGTGGCCCTTGGTCCACTGTCCAGCTGATCTGTCAAATTCTGCTCTGTTGGTCAAATACTGAGTGATATCCTTCTAACCAGACGATCCTCAGGGCTGCACCCTGTCAGCAGGGAGCAGATAGGAAATCTTGGATATGGTCAGCACAACTCGAGTTGTCCTCAAGATGTCTAGAGAGTCAACTGCCTCCCTGACTAGTTGACCTGCATTCATGAGTACAGTCCTGCAGTTAGGAGATCAGGGTTATTTTCTCTAGGGCTTTCTGAATCGGCATCTGTGGATAACTTAGTGGTTTTGCCTGGGCTGGCCTTAGACTCCAGTCCTCCAACCTCCCCCTGTAGAGTAGCTGGGTCATGTTAACTGATTTTTCATTTTAAGTGTAGATGTTTGCTTTTCCAAAAATTACATTCATGTAACAACCTCATAGGACATAAGGAAGACGCCATGTCGTTACATGTGGTAATAGTTTGTCTTCAGTGCAGAATTGCATTTCCTTATATGAATACACTCAGTTTATCAGTTCTGTAATTGTTCAGTCCAATTGTTCTTTTTTTTTTTTTTGTCGGTCATGGGGATTGAACTCTGGGCCTAGGCGCTGTCCCTGAGCTCTTCAGCTCAAGGCAAGCGCTCTACCACTTGAGCTACAGCGCCACTTCCGGTTTTCT